TTTTTGCCTGAACTGCATAGCGAGACCCAAAAAAAAAAAAAAAAAAAAAAGGATAAAAATAAAAAAGACAGTCTCTCTAGAGTGTTTGTCCAATAGCCAAGAGACCCTGGGTTAGTTCCCACCACTGCCAAAAAGAAAAAAGTCCCCAAGAGACAGGGTCTCACTGTGTTGCTCAGGCTGGTCTCAAACACTTAAGCGTAATCAATCCTGCCTCAGGCTCTTGACTTTTTGGGACCCAAGCCAGGGCCACTACACCCAGCTGTGGGGAGGTGGAGTCTCAGGAGCACACTCCCCACCCACAGGCGTCCTTGGCCACTTGCACTGGACACCAGCGCGGACGGAAGCTGGCGCTGCACACTGATCCATCCGTACACGTCTGCTCAGCCACCACCCGTGGGCCCGACACTCACACAGCCTGGTGAGGGGGAACGCCCAGGGAGTCACGTGGGTACCGGTGACCCTGAGACACTGCAGACACCAAGCACAACTGTCTTGTGGGTAGCTGAGTACACAGCGGCACAGAGGCAGCAGGTATGGTGGCTCAGGCCTGTGAGCCCAGCACGCAGGAGGCAGGGTCAGAGCAGCCCGAGGTCAGCCTGGCTGAGACAGCTAGATGCTGTCTCCGACAAAAGCATGAAATCACTTCCCTCCCATTCCTGGCAGACGAGCAGGCACAGGTCAAATGTTAGGCAGCAAAACCGAGCCTGGGCCCAGCCTAGATAACTTAGCGTGACCCTGTCTGAGTTTAGCAAAGCAGAAACCAGGCTGGGGACATGGCTCAGTAGCTCAGTGCCAAGGTCTGGGGTTCACTCCTCAGTGTGGAAGGAAAACACCAGACAGGACACACTGGATTCCCACCAGTAGAGCTGCTGATCTACACTGTGGCCTCCTTAATTAAGATTCCAACACGCCCAAACTCCTGGTGTGTCATGCTTCTGGCACACAACACGTCATGCTTTTGTGAATAAAAATTTCCAAATAGCTGCATATGATGGTATGTGCCAGTAATCTCAGCGCTCTGGGAAGCTGAGGCAGGAGTACTGCCTGTTCCAATCGAGCCTGGGTACTTAGTGTCTTAGCAACTTTTTCTCAAAAATAGAAAACTAAAAAGGGGTACAGAGGTAGCTCAGTGTAAAGGCCCTGGGTTCAGTCCCTGGTACAGCAATTAATAAGCATCAGCATCTAAATTATTACCTTGGATAATAGGGATTAAACTTATACCAGGAGCTGGGGATTTAGCTCAGCAGCACAGAGCCTGCCTGGCAAGCGCAAGGTCGTGAGTTCAATTCCCGGTACCAGAAAACAAACAAACAAACAAACAAAAATTT